TACAATTTATAAGATAAAACTAATATAATTGTATTAAAAAAAAAAAATATGTCGTGGCTGTTAAATCCAACTCTAAAATGTTATATGTTATATATGCAATTTCTTTTAATATTAAGTTGTTACTCAATTTTAAAAAAATTTGAAAAAAATTATTTATTTATTTATTTATATCATTTTAATTCTTATTTAGTGAGACACAATTATCATAATCATGATAAAAAAAATTTAGAACATAATAAGTCGTCGTTAAATAAGTGAAAATGTAATAAATTAATATATAAAATAATGATAATTGACACATGCTTGAAACATAAATTAAAAAAAATAAATTATACAGGTTTTATATAAATAAGCAACTCATTTTTAAAAAAAAATGTATTTTCACTTTTTTTAATAATTAAAATAAGTAAATATGTAATTAAATAAATAAATATATAAATTAATAATACCAATTATAAATTATTAAAATAATAATTTATAATTGGTTTTTTCATATAAAAATTATCACGTTTTATTAATGATCTACAATAATAATAATAATAATTTTAAAAAATAAAATAAAATAAAAAATTCTTTAATTTAAAGGAATCGGATCCTAATTTAGGAGAAAAAGGTAATAAGTAGAATAAATAACATAATAAAATCATAAATAATACATAATTTTAGATTTTCTTAATAAAAATATCATTACTAAAAATATTTATCTGTCAATTACTTTAGTATTTTTTGGCTTCTTTATTTCTTTTAGGAAAATCTACATGTTCATATTCGAATGACATAAAATGATAACTTTTATTTAGTAATAATAATATATAAAAATATATTTTATTCATATTTCACTTTTATAATGTGTCTTTTATATATATATATATATATATATATATATATATAATATAATATAAACATTTTACATAATTTTTTAAGATAAAAATAATAATAAATAAATAAAAGTGACATTAAACGTTAACTTATTATTTTAATTACTTAAAGTGATAAATATATTTTAGACTAATTTAAAATCGAGCATGCATTCTGAATAATTTCTTAGATATTAAAAAAATGTTTTTTTAATAGTTAAAATTTTATTATTTAAAGAATATAAAAATAAGTCAAATTTAAATACTTTTCTAAGTATTTTGTTATGTTATTTTTTAATTAAAATTATATTTTAATAATATTTACCACTTTTGATGAGAATCTTTATGACATTGATTTATTATATAAGGATTGGTCATGCCAAGTGCGCAAGATTCATTCAGATTTTAAAATTTCTTAACTGGAAGTGTATATAATTATAAGATGCTAATAAAAATGGTAAATTAATTGGCATATACCTAAGATAAGCATTGGACACACAAAATACATGAACTGTAGCTTTTATTCTAAAAAGTGAAAGTAATATCCCAAATAATTAAAATATAAATAAAATACAAAAGATATTAATAATACATTTTAATATTTTTTTTCAAGAATATATTCTTTTAAATAATTACTTTTTCTTTCAACAAATTTAATGTTTATAAGTTTGTTTTGATAATATACATTTTAATTTTTGTTTCATGTAATATTGTATTTTTGTTACATTTGTAAGATATAGTTATTTTCTTATAGTTTTATATGACATAGTTGTTGTTAATAATATTGTTATTTATATGATTTGTTTAAATAATATTATTTATTTATTTATTTATAAGAATTAATATTAATATTTGTTCATCAACATATGTAATAAGAATACTATTAATTCTATTCTTTTAATATACAAGTATCTTTAGAGTTAGCAACATCTATTAATTGATTATAGATTTAACTCGGGTATTTAAAATCAAAGTCTAAAACATCAACTTTCTAACTGTGTTTAAGATAGTTTAAAATTTTGCCTTGGGGTGCTTATAGAGTCATTTAGCAATGTAGGTTGTTTATTCCATGAATTTTAATAAATTCTTTAGTATATGCAAGAAAAAAATAATAACAAGAATTGCCAATTTTCAAGTTATTTTTGATAAATTTATGTTCAGATACAAAAAGATTTATTTAAAATATTTTTAAAAGATAAAAAATATTTAAAAAGTTGAAAAATAAAATTGAAACTTGCCTAAAATATAAAGGATAAAAATACTATTTTTTTATTATAAAATTCATTCAAGTGTTAATAATTTTTTATACATCAACATTTTATAAAATACTCTGAGTTAGAAATCAATTTCATAGTTCTAATAGTTTGCAGATAGGAAGTAAGGAAAGGAAAAAATGTTTTTTTCTTAATAACTACTTATTGTTATATAAGTAATAGTATTTACATATTTTATCCACTAGGTGTGAATACTAGGTCACTTTAATTTTTTCAAAAAAAAAAATTATATTAATTTCACTTCATTTTGTATTTTCCTTAAAGATTTATAAATACAGTAAAAAAATTTATAAATTTCTTAAATAAATATTTAAAATAAGAAAAAAAGAAAATAAGATGGCTATTTTAAAATAAATTTTATCAAAATTTAAAATAAATAAACAGCTTGAACATGATTGTATCAAATAAAAAATATTTATAATTAAGACAATGTAATAAAAATTATATATAATAAATTTTATTCAAAATTAGAGAATTCAATATATTAATAATATTAAATATTATTACTTCTATTTTTATTTATATGTCTAAAAAAGAATAAAAATATTTTTATTTTAATTAATATAAAAGTTCATAACAATAATAAACATTATTTTTCAATTAATGACTTTCTTTTATATAAGACATTTATATTAAGAGTATTTCAATAATAAAAAAAATCTATTAATAAATGTTTTTGTTGATTGGTACTTCAAAATAGCAACTAAAGAATTAAAAATAGTAACTTTTATGAAAATTTGTACTGAATTACAAAAGAAAATCTATTAATAAAGGGTTTTATTACTGATGCTTTATAGTAATGACTAAAAAATTAAAAATATTTAGCATAAAAAATTAAAAATATTATTTTTGTATAAAAAAATATTATATTACATTAGGAATTTTAAAAAATTATGTATTTATTATGTTTTTTTGATGAACAATATTTTTAGTTTATTAATATTTATTATTCATAAAAGGTAACTTAATAAGTTTAACAGTTAATTATAAAATATTAAACTGTTCACTTTGTGTAATTTTTTTCCCTCAAGACAAATAAATAAGAATAAAAATAATTTTTTAATAATTTTATCAATATTAATCCTTAAAACAAATTTTAAGCAATTGAAATAATAAAATTTTATTAAGAATTTATTTACTACATTTTGGTACATTAGATATTTAACAATAATTACGCATATGACACTTTTATTTTTATTTAATAACATTATACTCAACTTTATTATTGATATTTATTCTTGTTAAATTTTTATGATTTATCCATTTTGTACAAACTTGTACAAATTAAACATAGTTAATCATGCATTTTGAACCAATTGAAAAGAGTAAGTTATTTATTTATTCTTGTTTATTGTTTTATTTTTTATTTTCCGTGATCTCTTTTTAAGTTAATTAAAAAATGTAAGTAATAAGGTTAATTTGTACATAATAAATAAATTGAAATTAATTTAAGTTTTCACCTACAATTTATTTATAAAAGATAAATAAAAAATAGAAAAAATATTTTATAAAAAATATAAAGCATTTTATAAAATGAGATCACTAAAATCTTATACTTTTTTAATTTTATTTTTTATCTGTCACAATATTAAAAGATTATTTCTTTCTATATTTTTTTATCTCCACAAACTGAAAATGAATAAATAAAGTTAAGTAATTAGATAAAAATAAAATAAAAAATGAAAAAAATGAATAAATTATAAAAAAAATAAAAAGTTCTATTAAATTGAAACTAATTGCAATTCTTCAATATTACCATTTTACCTTTTGGTCAAGATTCATTGCTCATGATAAGACAAAAGAAAAAAATTGTTAACGATAAAAAATATATATTAATTCAAATGAATATTTAATAATAATATTTATAATAACTATTATAGTGTACCTTTTAAATTATAAATTAGTGTTTTAAATTATGTTAAAAGCATTTAAAGAAACATTCTTACTAAGTAAATCCTTTCTTATAATAGCCTATTAAAATTTTCTGAAATTTAAAGTTTTTATCTTTGATTTCTCTCACACAAATTATATTAACTTATAAAAATATAACAAAAGTTTTATAAAATTTTACCAGATTTTAAATTTCTTAATTTTATTCTATATTCTAATTATTTGTTTTATACTTTATTTTCTATTGCATACATTATTTTTTAATTAAAATTAAAATTTTATTTTGATAATATCTATTAATTTTTAGATGACAATTTTTATAATATCAAGTTTAAAGATAAAGATTAGTGATGTCAAATATTACCATTCTACCTTATGGTAAACATTCACTCTTCTCTTTAGGTGAATGCATTACTTCTTTTCATTAAATAGTTTTTTTTATAAAGCATGTATTTCAAATTAATATTGATTTATACAATATTACATGCACTAATTTTTGTAAATAAATAAATAATTTATTAAAATTAATAAAAAATAAATATTAAATAAAAAATGTTGATTTATTATAATAAAAATAAAAAAATATATTAATATTTTATTTATTTTGTGATAGAATTTGTAAAAGAATAAATAAGAAGAGAATTTAAAATTATTTTTATTTAATAATATTTTTTTAATTTATGACACTCTTTTTGGGCTTAATAATGACACTTGTTGCAGAGTGATTGAATGTTGTGACGGTTGGACTAGAGTGGGAATTGTGCAGTTATTACGGCTAAAACTGTCAAAGCAAACAGCAGCCCGCACACGCGCCAAGACCGAGGCACTGTCAGGGACGTGCTCTACTCCACTCACTCGCCCTTCCAGTCCACTGCACCCAACCATCCTCATTCAATATTAACCGTCCATGTAATCCGCGTGCAAAATCAACGGTCCACACTCTATACCGCATTCACTACACCGAACATAAACGCAGGGGATAATTACTGCATTTGACAAACTATTAGTGTGAGATAATGACATCAGAGTTTTAAAAGAGAGTGTTTGACACAGCTTAACCACAACAAGGATCATAAACAATACAATTTGGACCTCCACAAACTCACTTTCTGTTGTTGTTTGAGGATTTAGGGTTCTGTTTGTTCTGGCCAAATTCTACTTTGGCCATTTCAGTTTAAGGTGACACAATTACTTAAAATTTATCATTTTGTGTGTGGTAATGAAAATTGGTTTTTTATTTTTTTTAGTTTGTGGGTTTTTCTGGTGATGTAATGCTGCATTGCAGTTGAAGTTCTAGTTTATGATTTTTTGGCCTTTTTAGTTCCCTGAAAATTAGTTTCTTTGATTTAATCTTCGGTGTGCTTTATGATTTTCATTTTTTCAATTCGAAGATGAAATTTTTATAATGGTACCTTTTTTTTTCTTTTTGAGCTTTTGAGGTTGTTTAAGTGGTGCATGTGCTTGACATGGATCTTACTTTTTTTTACTGCTTATTATGAAGTAGAAAGGTTCCTGCTTTGTCTTTTTGGTACAATTTTTTTCAGAAATGGAGCTTCTTTGCTGGAAAGTTTGTTTTTTTGTAGAGAATTTTCGGTTAGTCTTTTCTTGTTCAGGTTGTTATTCAGCATTTCAGGTTTTTGTCTTTTCTATAATTCTTTCATGTATGGAAAACACTGTTCTGTACAATGTTGGTTTGTTTTGGCTTTTTCACCTATTTTGGGTTTGGTTAAAACTTCTGGATGCTGCTTTTACTGACGGTTCGGTAGCTTGAATATGTGTATTTTCTCTAATTTTTGTAATATATAGAAAGCTGTTACAGCATTTGAGTATTTCATTTACTGCTGGGGTGATTATGATTTACATGCATTGCATATGCGCACAGCGCATTTAAGTAACCTTTAGTGTAGTTGAGTCACAATTTTTGCAAATAAATTTTGTGATTTTTTATTTTCAAAGTTAGCCTTTTTCTTTTGGAATTAGTAATTCACTCAACATTATGCTGAAGCCATTTTAACTCCTTCCTGTTTTGATTTAATATCTTTCCAAGATATTCGTGTTTACCCAGAATATTGGCCCTTTGAGGCCACTCTTAATGATGTTATGATTTACTTTATAATATTATTTGACCATTTACTCAGTTTAATTCATTCCTAGTTTTTGTGTGGACACTTGTTATGTTAGTTGTATGATTACTGTTAACTTTCTGGTTATTGGATTTTTAAGTCCTTGTTATTTTCAGTGGTAGTGATTTGACTTTTAGCTGTATGTTGACTATATAGTATATATTGCCTTCAAAATTTTGTCATCTTCAAATGTTGAGATTATTCATACTATTTGTGTGGATGATTTGTTCTCCTACTACACCTTGTATCCCTAATTCTCTATCTACAGAATATGGATTCATTTGAGCCAGATGGAAATGGAAAGGAGGGGCCATTGCCGCCACCGCCTCCTGTTGTCCCCTCAGATGTTGTACCCCTCAAAGCAGATGAGGTGTGCCCTGCCCCTGCTGAGCCTGTTAAGAAAAAGGCTTCCCGCATTCCATCATCCAGACGTGGTCTGGGATCAAAAGGAATGAAGATACAACTCCTAACTAATCACTTCAAAGTTAATGTCACAAACAATGATGGACATTTCTTCCATTATAGTGTATGTCCTTCATTTATCTTATTATGTGACTGTATTTATGTTTGAAGTTACTCACTGAAGCTTGACTTTTACTTTGCTTGGTTAACAATCAGGTGGCGTTCTCTTATGAAGATGGACGACCTGTAGAAGGCAAGGGTGTAGGAAGAAAGATAATGGACAGGGTTGTAGAGACATATCATTCTGAGTTAAATGACAAGGACTTTGCATATGATGGGGAGAAAAGTCTGTTCACCATTGGCTCACTTCCTCGGAACAAGCTTGAGTTTGAAGTTGTTCTTGAAGATGTCACATCTAACCGGTAGAAATTAATAGTAAATTGTTGGTGTCTTGGTCCTCATAATTGGCTTTCATAATATTGTTTTCAGAAGTATAACTTCTTTTTTTATATAGGAATAATGACAATTGCAGCCCTAATGGTCATGAGGACAATGAAGGTGACAAAAAGAGGATGCGGCGTCCTTACCGTGCGAAGACTTTCCAAGTGGAGTTGAGCTTTGCTGCAAAAATTCCAATGCAGGCCATTGCCAATGCCTTACGGGGGCAGGAAACGGAGAATTTTCAAGAAGCCATTAGAGTGCTTGATATCATATTGAGGCAACATGCTGCTAAGCAGTAAGTAAATAATGCTTTATTTTTCTTAGTTTGTGAATAAATTTTTTAATATTTCTCTCTATACAATTATGCTATGTTATAATGCCCCAATATTTTAACTGTACATTGTCTATTGCAGAGGCTGCCTACTTGTACGCCAATCTTTCTTCCACAATGATCCAAAGAATTTTGCTGATGTTGGAGGTGGTGTCCTAGGCTGCAGAGGATTCCATTCAAGTTTTAGAACCACACAGAGTGGCCTGTCTCTTAACATAGGTTAAATGATCTGTTGCTTGTATGCAATCTTCTCATGTCATACTTTTTTGTCTAATTCTAATTCTGGCAATCCCAAATTTATTTAGATGTCTCAACTACCATGATAATTCAACCTGGGCCTGTGGTGGACTTCTTGATTTCCAATCAAAATGTGAGAGATCCTTTTCAACTTGACTGGGCTAAGGTAAGCTAGTTCTCTGAATATCTTCTCATTTTCCTTCACTGATCTTGTTATACTGAAGTCTGATTTTTTTTTTCTTTTTTCATTTTCTTAAACAGGCCAAAAGGACCCTAAAAAATCTGAGGATTAAAACTAGACCATCCAATCAAGAATTCAAAATTACTGGACTCAGTGAACTTCCATGCAGAGAGCAGACGTACTTATTTTCTCTTTTTAGATTTTGTTAAATCCATTGGGCTGACAGTGGCCAATTCTTAACCATGTGTATGTTCTGCTTTGTAATTGTAGAGTTGTTAATTGTGTGATGAGTTGAGGTTTCTGATGAATGCGTGTATTTTGCAGTTTTACTTTGAAGAGTAAAGGTGGCAGGGATGGTGAAGATGGTGGTGAGGAAGTCACTGTTTATGATTATTTTGTTAATGTTCGCAAGATAGATCTCCGATACTCATCTGACCTTCCATGCATCAATGTTGGCAAGCCTAAACGGCCAACGTATTTCCCCATTGAGGTAAATGAAGGGTTTTCTTAAGGTTGTCATTGCTTCATTTTTTAACTATAATGTGTACAGATTGATCTTCACTACATATTTCATGTTTGGTTATATAATCTTTTTTTGTGGCTTTTTTAGCTTTGTGAATTGGTGTCATTGCAACGTTATACAAAAGCTCTGTCCACATTTCAAAGGGCTTCATTGGTGGAGAAATCCAGGCAGAAGCCACAAGAAAGGATGAAAGTTTTGTCTGATGTAAGTTGTTTTGCTAAATTGGGTGATATAATTTTAATTCATATGTCAAGGATAAGGGATCTTACTATTTATTTCTGCTGAAGGCACTAAGAAGCAGCAACTATGGTTCTGAACCTATGCTTCGAAATTGTGGAATTTCTATAAGCACTGGCTTTATTGAAGTGGAGGGTCGAGTTTTGCCTGCACCTAGGGTATATATATACTTATTTATCGTCAAACTCACAAATCTTGTTAATAATATTTTGTATTGTTTTACATTTCCATTTAGAACAAATGATCTTGACCTTTCTTGAGGTTTGATAAATTAAAACTTGGTACTCCACTTGTGTCAGAAATGACTTTTTCCCCTTATTAGTATTATGGTGCTAAGAGTTAACTTATAAAGTAGTTTTCATCTTTTTTTTTGCTAGCAATGCCATAGTAAATTATTATTTCTCTGTTTCTCATTGGACATTCTGGAAAATAAGTGATAGATGTCCTATTTTAGTAACCTTAGATTGAAACATGGTTTTACATGCTTTTACATTGAGAAAGTCATGTTTTCTTTAAATGAATAGGACTCCATTGTGAGGTCTAGCTTTAGGATGCGCTTGGATAATTGGTTATTTACACACTTATTCAATAAGCTCTTTTTGAAATGATGAATTATGTTTGAAATTCAATGATGAAATTTATTAGGATAAGCTGAAAACAGCTTATTTTTGAAAGTTATACCAAGGAGCTTCTTAATTAAGCTGAAAACAGCTTATGAGAGTCATAACTTGTTGTCTATAAGCTGTTCATAATTTCTTCCAAATATGTCCTTAATCTCTTTGTTAATAATGTGGTGTTGTAGATGGTCATAATTTAAAATCATAAAAGTTTATGCATGCTCAGCCCTGAAGCAAATCCCTTGCTGTTATGCTTACCGTTAAGCAAATTCTGAACTGTTTATTCCATTGAATTAATACTCTATCTATTCAAATATTGATTAGGGGCCTCTATATAAAGTAAGAGTTAGGTTGTATGTTCTTATTCTCTAGTCCTTTTAATGGGTTTTTTTTTTTTTTTTTGCGAAGTTCCTATACACAAAACCAAGCTTTTCCTGCTGCACTTTGTACAGAACCTCTTCCTTTCATCCTTGCTACTCAGGCCTTAAGCTGTTTAGCTTTGTAGAAATATAAACATGTCATATATTTGCTCTTCTTTTAGTCATGATGATGTTTGTTATATTACATGACAGTTTGATTTGTTTTATGCATTGAATATTAGGGATTTAGGGTCTAATTTGATATATAAGAGTATAAATTTATGGGGACTTTTAATTGTTTATTGCATGGAAGGGAATAGCTTTTTTCCTCATAATTAATTGTTTATTTCTCAAAAGATTTCTTACAAAGTCAGCATAAATAAGTGATTATTGCTTCATCTTTTAAATTAGATGAATCAAGTATGCACTAATTTGCTTAATTGTGTGAAGTTAAGGTAATTTGCATATGCGCACATCACCACAATGGTTTGTTTGGGTCAGAGGAAAGAAAACATAAATAACAACGCTTTTTTTATTTTGTTTGTTTGAAGAGAAAAGATGAGAATAGTTACACTTTTAGAAACAAAAATTCAAAATTTTCTCTCATTTTCTCTTCAATTCAATTTCAAAATTTTCTTTCTCATTTTCCCCTTGTAATCAAATAGATGGTAAGTATCAGTAGTATTGCATTTTATGGTTTGAAATTGATCATTGAATCTTCTCAAATAGTTGAAGTTTGGCAATGGTGAGGATTTCACTCCGAGGAATGGGAGATGGAATTTTAACAACAAGGTATATAATTCAGTTCCTCTGTCAGTGAAAGTTTAATATGGTCCACCTAAAAACAATATTGACATAGGTTCCAATAACTTAAATGCTTCTCCAGAAATTCGTGGAGCCATCAAAGATAGAAAGATGGGCTGTGGCTAACTTTTCTGCACGCTGTGATGTGCGAGGACTTGTGAGGGATCTGATTAGAATCGGAGATATGAAAGGAATTGTAAGTTCTATAACTGCGTATTTAGTGAAGTTTGAAAGGGCTACTGACTGAAATTTTTTCTTCTCCAACATCTGCAGTCAATAGAACAACCATTTGATGTGTTTGATGAGAATCCTCAGTTTAGGCGTGCCCCACCTATGGTCCGAGTTGAGAAGATGTTTGAGACCATTCAGTCTAGGCTTCCTGGGGCTCCTCAATTCTTTTTGTGTTTGCTTCCTGATCGGAAAAACTGTGATATTTATGGTTAGTGGTTTTGACATAATTTTTTGTCTTTATGCCTTCGAAATTTTCAAGTTTGCTAGATGAAAATTATTTTTTGACATCCAAGGGCCATGGAAAAAGAAGAATCTTGCTGATTTTGGAATCATTAATCAGTGTATGTGTCCCATAAGGGTCAATGACCAGTACCTGACCAATGTTATGTTGAAGATCAATGCCAAGGTAATATTGTATTGTACAGCATTCTACTGTCCATGTAGGCCTGTGCCACCTGTAAAACATCTTATCTTTGTTATGTAGTCATCACAATAGAAGAACACCTTCATGCTCTTTCCCTCTACTTACTAGAATAAGGCTAGGTTGTTGTAATTGATTTTTCTTACTTGTTTAATTTATCATAAGGATGTCATTTCCTCCATTGAATTCATTTATTGTCATGCAGCTTGGTGGGTTGAATTCATTGTTAGGTGTTGAGCATTCTCCTTCTCTTCCTGTTGTTTCAAAAGCTCCCACCCTCATTCTAGGCATGGATGTGTCACATGGCTCACCAGGGCAATCTGATATTCCTTCAATTGCTGCGGTAAATGATAATTGTCTGTTCTTTCTATGAATAGAATTTCTCAAATGAGAATGTTGGTCCTGAGTCTATTTTTCTGGATGAAGTCTTATTGCTTTCTGAGTGTTAGTCTGCATGCCTAATACCTAAATATACACATGCAGGTGGTCAGCTCTAGAAACTGGCCTCTGATATCAAAGTATAGGGCATGTGTTCGTACCCAGTCTGCTAAGGTTGAAATGATAGATAATTTGTTCAAGCAAGTTTCTGAAAAGGAAGATGAAGGCATCATAAGGTTACTTAATTCATAGATTGTAATTTAATAATTATATTAAACAAATGTTTTAAGCAGTCTATTTGTAGTTGTATTAGTTGTACAGACATTTGTTTTAGTTTTTTGTAATTTGGTCTCTGTATATAAGGACTTTCTATTCTAATGGGTTTCATCAACTGCAGGGAGCTTCTGCTTGATTTCTATGTAACTTCTGGGAGGAGAAAACCAGAAAATATAATCATATTCAGGTATGTTTCCTTTGAAAACACTTAAATTGCTTTTGGTTTCTATTATTTATTGTTTTTGCATTTTCGTTGTTACAGGCTTACAGCTGAAAATGCTTTAAGTTTTATTATAAATCATGTTTGATGTTTATGATTTTTTTAATTAATGTGAAATTGTTCAGCGTGACTAGAAGTATTTGGTTACTTCAAATGACATTATCTTGTATATCAGGTTTAAACTTGTCTTATTTTTCTATAAAATATGTGTTTTATCTAAGCTTGCCTATATATTGATTTAATCTTACTCTTTTCTGATAAAACTGAACGTTTTTTCTGTGTTGTATCTAATACAGGGATGGTGTTAGTGAGTCGCAGTTCAATCAAGTTTTGAATATTGAACTTGACCAAATCATTGAGGTTCTGAAGATGATCAAATATGTTCTTTAAATATTAATCAATTGAGTCAAAGAACTAATATTCATGAATTTTTAGGCATGTAAATTTCTTGATGAAAATTGGAACCCAAAATTTGTGGTAATTGTTGCTCAGAAGAACCACCACACAAGATTCTTCCAATCTGGCTCTCCTGAAAATGTCCCACCTGGCAAGTGTTCTGGGAATTTCCACTAAGATCTTTTATTGGACAAAATGTGTTCCCTATTTATTAACCCGTTATTTTGCAGGAACTGTTGTCGACAATAAAATTTGTCATCCCAGAAATTATGATTTCTACCTATGCGCACATGGTGGAATGATAGTGAGTATCCACTTTTCCGTATTTTTATAACATTCTTCTAGTCTTGATGTGGCATGATTGTGGCTTGTGTGGTTATCTTGTGGGCTTATTTCCCTCAGTCTCTCTGTCTGAAATGTACATTCATTCATTTATGCATCTTTTTTCATTTTTGGTTTAGATTATTGGTAGTTGGTTTATTATTGCTGATATACTGAGGGATAATACTTTTATCTGTTTAAAGATGTAGTATGGAATAATGGTTGGGAATATTTATCTCTATTTAAAATAGGGAAATCTTGTGACTGTAGGGAAGTATCTTGAATCTCATGGTAGTTTGGTCATCTCCTTTATTTTTTTCCTTTAGGAAAGAAATTCTTCCATTGCCAAGGTTTGTTTGCATTATTATCTGAATGTGAGTTGTGTGTTGATTTCTAGCTTACTTGGATTCACTTTCTATTTATGCTGGACTGGAAGTTATTAATCGTTGTTCCCCTGCAAAAATGACCTTTGTATTCTTGTTACATTTGATTTTGATATAATTAGGTGGTGTGTGAGACAGTTGAAAAGTTCCACATTGCCTGCCTCAATGTTGGGGGTGCAGTTTATATATCTATTGACAATTTCACTTAATTTGGTTAAGATGGAATCGACCATAGCCCATTTCTGTTCTCTTGTTTCTTTTGTGTATTGCTTAATCTGGCAAGCATTTGTGGGCGGGGAATTTTGGAAATTCCCGCATTGCATGTCTCAATTACTGGGGTGCAGTTTATATTCCTGTTGCACTACTTCACCTGATGCCAATTGGTTTTAAGATAGAATCTAAGGCTTTGTTAGGGAGTTAATTTTTGGAGGGAAGGGAAAAGCTTATTTGATGGTAACTAGGTTTCAGAGTTTTTAAATAAGAAGTGTTTCTATAAATCTGATAGAACTAGGTACAGAAAGAATGCAATATTATTGAATTTCTGGAACAACAGAATACATGCACTAATGTTCTGAGAATTATTCGAGTAGTTCTCAGTCTACTCCCAAGGTTATTTTTTACCAAAAAAGAAGATCCCTGATTATCTTTATTTCTTCTATTTATAATGTCCTAAGTTGTAACGGTTTTTAGTTGAAAACTATCCAACTGTCTCTTGGGCTCTTGGGTTCTGCTCCCCTACAACTGATCCCTTCCTTCTCCTATACACCTTCAAGGGACGATCTCTAACAATACTCCCCCCTAGGACTTGCACCTTGTCCTCAAGGTGGGTAACAGAAAAATTCTCCTTAATGCTTTGCCAACTTTCCTAGCTATTTTCAAATTCAGGAAGCCCCTGCCATTTGATTAAAACTTCCCACAAGTCTGACTTCAAGCAACGAACATCCAAAACATCTTCAGGTTGAGTTATCAATTCATAATCCGCTTGAAGCATAGTAGGAAGAGGATGGGCTTGTGCTGGAGGTGTGACCGCTTTTTTAAGGAGAGAAATGTGAAACACAGGATGAACCTTACTCCCATCCGGTAATTCCAATCTATACGCCACAACACCAATTCGATCCAAAACCTTAAAAGGGCCATAATAACGAGGGCTCAATTTCTGATTCACCTTGGTAGCCAAAGATTTCATCTTATATGGTTGAATTTTCAGATAAACAAAATCACCAATCTGAAATTCAAGGAACCGTCTGTGCTTATTGGCTTGAGAACGCATATAATCTTGGGCTTTCAACAAATTAGCTCGTAACTCACTCAATAATTCATCTCTGTCTTGAGTCATTTGATTAACCTCTTCCACTCTCGAAGGAACAGTGGTACCCTTCCACAAGATAGGAGGATCTTGGCCATATAAAGCTTTAAAAGGTGTCATTCTAGTGGAAGCATTGTAATTTGTGTTAAACCAGTATTCTGCCCAACTGAGAAAATCTGGCCATTGTTTTGGTTTATGGCCTGTCATACATCTCAGGTAAGTTTCAATACACCTATTCACCACTTCCGTTTGACCATCCGATTGCGGATGGTAAGCTGTGCTAAATCGGAGCTGAGTTCCAACACTTTTAAATAACTCTTTCCAAAACTTACTCATGAACAATTGGTCCCTATCTGACACAATAGAGCTAGGAAAGCCATGCAGCTTCACCACTCCTGTCATAAAGACAACAGCGACATCCTGAGCTGTATAAGGGTGACCAAGGGAAAAAAAATGAGAAAATTTAGTAAGCCTATCAACCACCACAAAAATAGTGTCTTTCCCTTTTGATTTTGGTAACCCGCCGATAAAATCCATTGAAATATCAGACCAAACCCGTGTAGGGACAGGTAACGGTTGAAGTAAACCTGCTGGAGATAAGGCCTCATACTTATTCCTTTGACAAACATCACAAGCTGTCACAAAATCCTTTATATCCTTGCGCATTCCTTCCCAATAAACCACTGCCGCCAACCTTTTGTAGGTACGAAAATAGCCCGAATGACCACTTACTGCCGACGCATGAAAATCAGCTAGAAGTTGTGGAATCTTTGTTGACCCTTTTGGTACCACCAATCTGCCCTGAAAATAAAGTCTTCCTCCTCTTAGTTCATACCCCTTGTGCGAATTAGGAGCAACTATCAAATCATGCCGAAGCTGTTGTAGTTTTGCATCTTGTAATATCTCTGCGTCCCAATCCTCCAACTCCTGAAATTGTAAGACAGTCACAGCAGCAAAATATGTTTGTCGAGACAGGGCGTCCGCTGCTGCGTTTTCCTTGCCGGGCCTATACTGGATTTCGAAATCATAACCAATGAGCTTAGAAACCCATTTAAATTGCTCTTCACTCATAAGTCGCTGCTCTGTCAAAAACTTTAAACTCCGCTGATCCGATTGGATGACGAAATGGCTTCCTAACAAATAATGTCTCCATCGCTGCACAGCCTGTACTACTGCCATTAACTCTCTTTCATATACTGACTTTTGTATGCTTCGTGCAGATAAAGCCTTGCTCCAATAAGCAAGAGGATGACCCTCTTGAAGTAAGACAGCTCCTAAACCACAACTAGAGGCATCAGTCTCCACCACAAAAGTTTTGGTAAAATCTGGAACAGCCAATATAGGTAAAGAAGTAAGAGCTTGTTTCAGGTCGTCGAAGGCAGTCTGAGCTTCTGCATTCCAAGAAAAACCACCCTTTTGAAGCAGCTGGGTTAAGGGTTTAACACGTCTACCATATCCCTGCACAAATCGTCTATAATAACCCGTAAGCCCCAAAAATCCACGTAACCCCTTCACATCTTTAGGAACTGGCCATTCCTGCATAGCGGCAATTTTCTTAGGATCTGCTGCCACTCCCTGTCCAGAAATCACATGTCCTAAATACTCTAAGCTGGTTTGGCCAAAAGAACACTTCTCCTTATTAACCTTCAAAGAATGCTCCTGTAGTATGCGTAACACTTGCCTAGTGTGATCGATATGGCATTCCAAACTTGGGCTGTAGATGAGAATATCATCAAAAAATACCAACACAAATCTGCGTAAAAAAGGCTTCAATACCTCATTCATCAAAGCTTGAAATGTGGAAGGAGCATTAGTTAATCCGAATGGCATCACAAGGAATTCATAATGGCCTTCATGAGTCCTAAAAGCTGTTTTTTCAATATCTTCTTCCCGCATTCGAATTTGATGATATCCCGACTTTAAGTCCAACTTAGTGAAAATAGTAGCACCACCCAGTTCATCTAATAATTCCTCAATAATAGGAATCGGAAATTTGTTGGGAGTAGTTATCTTGTTGAGGGCCCGATAATCCACACAAAATCTCCAACTACCATCCTTCTTCCGTACCAATATGATGGGACTAGAATAAGGACTAATACTAGGCCTTATAACCCCTGCTGTCAACATCTCATTTACCAACTTCTCAATCTCCGTTTTTTGGTAATGAGGATATTTATAAGGTCTGATATTCGGAATCATAGATCCTTCCTTTAAATGAATAGCATGATCTTGTCTTCTAGATGGTGGTAAACCTACTGGAGTTTCAAAAATAGTTGGAAATTGATGTAAAAGTTGTAACATTTCTATAGGAATCTCATTGCTATCCTGAATTGTTTGTTCCAGTGAAAAACAATCCACCAAAAACCCTTCTTCTTCTTGCTGCAATAATCGAAACATAGTCTTGGAAGATGCTGATGATAGGCATAACGTTGGATCTCCCTTCAAAATTTTTTCCTCACCGTCTACCTTAAACCTGATAGAAAGTTCTTCAAAGTTAGCTTTAATGTCTCCTAAACCGGCCAACCAATCTAACCCTAGCACCAAATCCGCTCCTCCTAAGCCAAACACATAGAATTTCTGTTTGATCTCCATATCCGCCAATTTGAGAAACAATCCTTCACATACTCCTTGACATTTAATTCTGTGGCCATCTCCAACTTCCACGAAATAAGAAGAAGTTTCAGTGACTACTAAATTCAATTCCTGCACTAATTGGGTAGATACAAAATTATGGGAAGCTCCACAATCTATCAGAATTACCACCTGTTTTTCTTTTACTGTGCCCCGTATCTTCAGAGATCTCTTAGTTGTTAACCCCACTATGCTATGCAGGGACAGTTGAATATCTTGCTCATCAACCAGAGTGTTATCCTCATTGGGAGCATCTTCTTGGAGTCCTCGATCCTCCTCCAATATCATCATTTGAAATTGTTTATTTTTACAAATGTGATTAGGCCCGAATTTTTCATCACATTTGAAACATTCCCCTTTCTTCAACTTTTCTTGCATTTCAGCATCAGTTAATCGTTTGAATCCCCCTGTTCTAACTCGTCCTTCTCCCCCTTTATTACTACCACTACTGCTCACAGCCCCTTCATTGCCTCTGCCCTGAATCCTGGACCCTTGAGCTGTTGCAAATGACCCTCCTGATTCCAAGCTTCGATAGGAATTTGCAGTCTTACTCCCCCTTAAGAACCCTGTTCTTCCCAATGCTGAGTTCTTCTCTTCCACCAACATGGCTTTCTTGATGATTGCTGATAACGATTGCGGCTCATATAACTTCACCTCTGCACTGATATCCCCACGCAAGCCATTCAAGAAAACTTCCATCAAATAATTTTCATCCATACCCGTCATTGCTCCTGCATATCTCTCAAATTGACTTACAAATTCTGCAATCGATCCCTCTTGTTTCAGTCGCAATAAGGCTGCGAACGGATTCGGAGCTGTGGTAGGTTGAAATCGCTCCATTACTGCGTTACGAAATTGATCCCATCCGGGGTTAGGGTTACACCCTTCCCACCAATGGAACCAACTAAGAGCGTCATTTTCTAGTGCCAAAACCACTACATTCATGCGATCTGCTGCACCCACTTCTCGAATTCGAAAATACCTTTCTATTTTTTGGATCCACCCGTACACGTCCTCACCCACAAATAGAGGAACGTCAATTGTGCGCCAATTTGCACTTGTCCTGCCAACGCTATTTCCTTGCTCACCTTCCGATCTTGAACAGCGCGACATTCCTTCCTCTTCTTGTTTAGGTTCTGAACGCTGCAATAGCGTATTCAACATTTTTTCCAATCTTTGAAATCGCAAATCTTGTGCTTCTAAACGTTTCTCCAATGTCTCAAATTTCTGAGCTTGCATTTGTAAATCCCCTTCTCTTTGCGATATTATTGTTTTCTCCAAGGCGTCGATCCTACTATCCATTCTTGTATTCGCCATTATTCAATTCCCACGGCACCTGGATGTTGCTCTGGATACCAATTGATAGAACTAGGTACAGAAAGAATGCAATATTATTGAATTTCTGGAACAACAGAATACATGCACTAATGTTCTGAGAATTATTCGAGTAGTTCTCAGTCTACTCCCAAGGTTATTTTTTACCAAAAAAGAAGATCCCTGATTATCTTTATTTCTTCTATTTATAATGTCCTAAGTTGTAACGGTTTTTAGTTGAAAACTATCCAACTGTCTCTTGGGCTCTTGGGTTCTGCTCCCCTACAACTGATCCCTTCCTTCTCCTATACACCTTTAAGGGACGATCTCTAACAAAATCATACTAAACCCATGTTTTTAAGTTCCCTCAAATTGGGGGATTTTTGTTAACCTTCCCTTTCCATCCTTTCCCTCTCCTTCTGAACTTCCAAACAAGGCCTAAAAGACATGAATGATTGTTTTTTAACATTCCTCATTGCATTTGTTTTAACCTATTACCTCAAACTCAAATGCAGGTAGATCTAGTTATTTGAGAGGGAAAGGTTATGTAAACTTATATTAGCATTTTCTTTTTTCTTCCTCTTTTTAATATTGTGCCCAGGGTACCAGTCGGCCTACACACTACCACGTGCTGCTCGATGAGGTTGGTTTCACTCCTGATGAGATGCAGGAGCTTGTCCATTCACTATCATATGTGTAAGTGAAATTTTGGACCTATTTAATTGTGTTAGACTTGTTTTAAGGTTTCAGGTTAGATCAATCTAATCAATATAAAATAATTCTTTGATATGACAGGTATCAGAGGAGCAACACTACCATTTCTGTTGGTAAAATTCTTACAGTACATTTTTTCCTCTGGAAAATGTTAATGTCTGTTTAATTTTAAGCAACTAAAAATGGCGAAGGCTGTTTGGTTTTAGAAAATGTTTTTTTTTTTTTTGTTAATTTTCTGTTTTCACATTTAATTGCTAAACTGCTACCTTGTTTTCATTTATTTCCTATTGTCAAAGAGTTGTATAGAAAACGAGAACAGAAGAAAGTTATTTTCATTGTTATTTATACAAATTTTTGAAACAGAAAACAAAATGAAAGAAGGGTGACAGTCCTGTAATCAGAGAAAATAAAAAATGAAAACAGAACTTCTCTGAAATCAAAGTCTCTATCTAAATTTTTATTGGGAAAAAGTGTATGTATTAATAAAAAATATAAAAATAAAATATTTTTCAAACTTGTTTAATTTGGATAGATGGGTATTGTTATGTCATAATGAGTATTCATGATTGAAACTTAGCTACAAATTATCTTCCTCTTCGCAGTTGCTCCAATATGCTATGCACACTTAGCCGCAACTCAGTTGGGGCAGTTCATGAAATTTGAGGACAAATCTGAAACATCTTCAAGCCATGGTGGATTGAGTGCTGCTGGTGCTGTTCCTGTCCCTCAGTTGCCTTCCTTGCAGGAAAATGTCCGCAACACAATGTTCTTTTGTTGAGGGCCTTTAAGCTTGCCTTGGCTCTCTTAAGTGATGACAATGATGTACATAAAGCCAAGTTCCAATGTGTAGCTTCTTGTGGACACAGTTTATGTAGTAGGCATGATCTTGTTATCTATAGGCTAAGAACTTCTATCTATGGAGGCTGTTTAGGACAAGCCTCTTTTTATGTGATCATGCCCTTTTTTGTTGTGGTAAACTTGGTCTTTTTAGCCATATGTGGAGCTTTTAGCACAAACTTTCTCATGTTTGTTCCCTTTCTATGTTGTTGGTAAGCGAAGTATTTATGGCATTTTTACCTTTGGCTACTCGTTGAGATGCATAATTTTATGGAGTTTAAATCATATTTGGATTTGGATGTAATGTAAACGGCGAGGGTTTATTAATGACTTGTGAACAATTTATGCTAGTGGAGTCACTTATGATTTCCACTGCACCATGGGAAAATACTTTTGTAACAGTGAAGGGTCCAAGCCACCTTGATTTGAGCTTTCTAGGCATAAGTTTGAGGCGAGAATTGAACAAGATGACCTTTTGACCAACGTAGAATTCTTTACTTGAAATCTTCTTGTCATGGTATTGTTTAGTCTTTTTCCTTGTAAATTCTGGAGTTCTCATAGGCCTCAAGACGTAGCTCTTCTAGATGGAGCACAACTTGGATTTTCTTTCTCTCTGGACACTGTGGGCTCTTACATCACTTTTCCAGACCTCAAAGTGATTGCACTCACATTTTTAGGATTTGCTACAGTTTGTGCAGGGAGGTTTCCTGAACCTTGAGATTGCATCTGGTTCAGAGACGAGGCTAACTGTCCCATTTGGTTCTCCAAAGTCTTGATACTAGCCTCGGTTCTTTGCTGGAAAGTAATGTTGTTCATGGTCAATTGCTTCATGAGCTCCTCCAGTGATGGTTCATTTTTCTAGGATGTACTTGGTTGTGAAGAAGATGGTTGGTGATGGTGCTGGGCTTGTTGTGGTTGATGTTGAGATTGATAGGATCTATTTGGGCCAGCATGATGTGCTTGATATTGAGTGCCTTGCTGCTGGTTATGCTATTGAGAATTGTTCCCCCATCTCAAATTTGAATGATTCCTCCAGTCTGGGTTATATCTATTAGAAGATAGATCCCAATTGGGCTGCTGTTGCGAATTTGGAAAAGGAAATTTATTAGTATAAATATTTGCAGCATAAACCTGAGGATTACCTTCTAGAGTATCAGACTCTTGCAGTGTAGGACAACTATTAGTGTAATGGTCTGTAGCTGAGCAAATGCCACATAGCATGGCTGGAATGGGTGGTGGAGGATGTGAAGATGCAACAACACTCTTTTGCATGAAAGTCAATTGCTTCACCATGGATGCCAATTCATCAAGCTTGTATTCTATTTTGCTAGACTCAGCAACTTGGACTTCACTCACATTTCTGGTAACACAAGAATTTTGCCTTGTTGCAAATTGTTGTGAGTTGACAACCATGTTCTCAATCAAGTTGTGGGCTGCAATCGGAGTCTTGTCTACTAATGCCCCTTCACTTACAATGTCTATCATGCTCCTATCCATGGGGTGCAGTCCCTCATAAAAGTATTGGATGAGCAATTGATCACTAATTTGATGATGGGGGCAGCTGGCATACAACCTCTTGAATCTTTCCCAATATTCATAGAGGGTCTCTCTTTCAAGCTGCCTTATCCCACAAATTTCCTTCCTTATAGATGCAGCTCTTGATGCTGGAAAAAATTTCTCCAAGAAAAGCCTCTTCAAGTTGTCCTAGCTAGTAATAAATCTGGGAGGGAGATAGTAGAGCCAATCCTTGGCTGCATCCGTGAGAGAAAAATGGAAGGCTTTCAATTTAACATGTTCTTTAGGTACACCTTATGGCCTCATGGTCGAACAAACTATGTGGAATTCCTTGAGGTGCTGGTGTGGATCTTCACCTGCAAGACCATGGAATCTAGGCAACAAGTGTATTAGTCTTGTCTTAAGAACAAAAGTTGCATCAATGTAAGAATACTGTATGCATAAAGTTTGATAAGTTACGTCAGGTGCAGCCAGTTCTTTTAATGTTCTTTCATTGTCAGCCATTTGGTTCAATTCAGAATTTAAAGAATGTGGTGATGAGTAGATAGATGAAAGAGATGAAGGTTCCTCAAAATGTTCAGAATTATGTCTATGTAATTTAATGTTATTATGAAATGTCCTATCAATCTCTGAATCAAGTGGATACAAGTCTCCAGGATTTGATATGGTCATGCACTAGAAACTAAATGAAAAGAAGTAAGCTAAATGAAATAGTAAAAATGCAAAAAAATGCAAATAACAATTGTGCAAAAAACTAATGTCTAAGTGCAGTAAAATGAAGTAAAGAAGTTAAGCAACAAGAAACAGAAAGAAATTCCAATTGATTGCAAGAAAAATGCAGCATGAAGTCACAAATTCTGCAGTAGAAACTGAACAAAATGCAAAAAAATAAAAAATAGAATACTAAAACAGAGTAACTGACAAGTTCAATGTAAAATTAACACCAGTCCCCAGTAAAGCCTCCTTGCACTGAAAAAGATATTTGCAGATTTTTGAGGAGATTAAATTATATTGCTTGATTCATATGCCAATTAATTGCCACTTATGAGCCAATTTTTAAGTTGTTACGAAAAAATCAGTCAATAGAATGGAATGATGATTATCAAGAAGCTTTTGAGAAGATAAAGTGGTATTTAGAAAATCCTCCAATACCAGTGCTGTCAGTGTTAGGGAGACTGCTCATTATGTATTTGATAGTGTTAGAAGGATTCATAGGATGTGTTTTAGGTCAGCATGATAAATTGGTCAGAAAGAGCACGCCATTTATTACTTGAGTAAGAAATTTACTGATTATGAAACTAGATACTCTCTGTTGGAGTGAACTTGTTGTGCCTTGGCTTGGACAGGTCATAGGTTAAGGCAATATATGTTGAGTCACACACTTAGTTAGTGTAAAAAATGGACCAAATTAAATACATTTTGGAGAAACTAGCCCTTACTAGAAGGATTGCTCGGTGACAGGTCCTCTTGTCAGAATATGATATTGTGTATGTTACCTAGAAAGCAATCAAGGGTAGCGCTTGTAGATTTTTTAGCTCATCAACCCGTGAATGATTATTAGTCAATAGAATATGAATTTCTTGATGAAAATATAGTAGCGTTGTTTAATGAGAAAGAATCTTTAGTGAAAGATGAATGGGTCATAATGTTTGATGGTGCTTCTAATGCACTTGAACACAGGATTGGTGCTATATTGATTTCTCCAAAGAAGTAATATATCTCGATAACAGCTAGATTATCATTTGATTGTACGAATAATGTAGCTTAATATGAAGCATATGCTATGGGAATTCAAGCAGTTATAGAGTCAAGGATCAAAATTCTTGAGGTGTATGGTGACTTAGCTTTGGTCATCCACCAGCTGAAAGGTGAATGGGAGACTCGAGATGCAAAATTGATCCCTTATCAAGCCTATATCAGAGAATTGGTTAAATATTTTGATGAAATTACTTTCCAACACATTCCTTTTGAGGAGAATCAGTTGGTTGATGTTTTAGCCATTTTGTCATCAATGTTTGTAGTGAGTCAAAAAGAAGACATGCCACTCATAAAGATGCAACAATTTGATAATTCCACCTATTGTCAAATGATTAAAGAAGAATTTGATGGTAAACCTTGGTATCATGACATTAAACGTTACTTAAGACACCACCCGTAATAGTGCCACTGAAAATGACAAAAGGACATTAAGGAGATTAGCAATGAGTTTCTTTTTGAATGGAGATGTGCTCTACAAAAGGAATCATGATATGGATCTAATCAAATTTGTGGATGCTTCAGAAGCACAAAAGATTATAGAAGAGATTCATGAAGGTTCATTTGGGACTCATGTCAATGAACATGCCATGATAAAGAAGATTCTAAGGATTGAATATTATTAGTTGACAATAGAGGCCGATTGCTTTCGTTATGTGAAGACATGTCATTAATGCCAAACATATGCTGACAATATTAATGTTCCCCCAACAACTCTAAATGTCTTATCATTACGCTGGCCTTTCTCAATGTGGAGAATTGATGTTATTGGACCCATTAAACCTAAAGCCTCTAATGGTCATCGCTTCATTCTGGTTGCTATTGACTATTTCACAAGATGGGTTGAGGTTGCCTCATGCTAGTGTGATCCGAAATGTGGTGGTGAGATTCATTAAAAAGGATTTGATCTGTTGGTATGGCCTCCCAAGCAAGTTGATAACATATAATGGCACTAATCTGAATAATAAAATGATAAAAGAATTGTGTGACAATTTCAAGATTTGACATCATAACTCCTCCCCCTATCGCCCAAAGATGAATGGAGCGGTTGAAGCAGCCAATAAAAATACTAAGAAAATCATTCAAAAGATGGTGGTGACATACAAGGATTGACATGAAATGCTGCCATTTGCCTTATATGGATATCAAACTTCAGTTCGTACCTCAACAAAGGCAACTTCATACTCTTTGGTATATAGAATGGAAGTAGTACTTCCTATTGAGGTTGAAATTCCCTCTTTAAGAGTAATGGTGGAGACCAAATTGGAGGAGGCAGAATGGGTTCAATCTCGTTTGGATCAATTGAATCTCATTGAAAGAAAACGGTTGAATACGTTATGTCACGAGCAACTATACCAATGAAGGATGAAGAACAAAAAGGTTCGTCCACGAGAATTTAATGAGGAAGACATGGTGCTGAAAAAAAAATTTTCAACGCACAAAGATTATCCTGGCAAGTGGTTTCCAAATTATGAAGGACCCTACGTGATGAAAAAAGCTTTCTCAAGAGGAGCTTTGATCTTCACAAACATGGATAGAGAAGATCTTCTAAACCCTATCAATTCTGATACTGTCAAAAAAATATGATGCTTAAAAAAATAATAGAAAAAAGAAAAGAAAACATAGTTCACTAGGTTAAAAACCCAAAAGGGCAACCTAGGCAAAAGTTAGAGCGACCCAGTGAGTTAAAAACTCAAAAAAGTAGTTCAGACAAAAATTAAGGTAAAATAAATTCTACATTAGACTAAAAACCTACAAAAGAAGTTCAGAAGAAAGGTAAGCAGACTTTAGTTGCAAAAAGGTGTTTCAAATTAGGGTAATATGATGGACTTGAACACTAAACTAAGGCAATTTTGAGAGGTTGAAGTTGAATCGAACAGGAGATGAGTTCAAAATATCATACTGGAGCAATTTTATTTGGTAATTTTGTTAATGGGTGATCAATTTACATGAGAGACTAGCACTGTTTATCTGGAAGATGTCACTTAATTGGCATAATACTTCACTATTTTTGTAGTCATTCTGATCCTTTGTTTGATGTATTTGTTTTTTCTGTTACTCATGTCATAAGTCTTCTTTGTAAATTCACCATTTTTTAATACAATGATCTGTTTACCTAGAAATATTTATCTCTGGCTTTTATCACCTTTCGTTTAATTTATAAACTACTTCGTTTACTCAAACTCTTCAACAGTATTAAACAAACATGTAAATTGTTAAAAGGGTAACAAGAAAATACAATTACAATAATAAGCTCTAAAATTTCACACATTAAGTTTGATGAATTTCCTTCTTCAACAGTATTAAACAAACATGTAAATTGTTAAAAGGGTAACAAGAAAATACAATTACAATAATAGACTCTAAAATTTCACGCATTAAGTTTGATGAATTTCCTTCTTCAACAGTATTAAACAAACATGTAAATTGTTAAAAGGGTAACAAGAAAATACAATTACAATAATAGACTCTAAAATTTCACACATTAAGTTTGATGAATTTTCTTATAAGTTAAGTATGATAGAAGAAGTTGACTCCTCGTAACAACTCAAAAATAAATAGTGGCCCAATTTGATTAATGTCTCACCTAGCTCCCAAGTTAAATAAGATGGCATCGCTAGTTTTTTGCAAATAGAAATAAATCTCAGCCCTGGTTATCCATCTCACAGGATCCTCATCGGCAACTCGACCTTCTTCACCGACTATCAGAACTCGTCTAGTGCCTCACCCCGTAATTTCTTCAGACCTCGACTGCTACTAGCAATTATCTTTTATGGCGTCTTATTCTATTTAATATCGGAAGATTCCGAGTTCTCACCTTTCTTCTTCGGCTATTTTCCAGTTTCTTTAGCGTTTTTGAAGAGTAAAGAAAATAATTTCGACTAATTTTCTGCAATCTCTTTATGTAGTGCCTCCATAGTCTTTTTTGATTATCAAGCCTCATCATCTCCATCACAGCTCTCATAATCGTCAACTCCCTTAAAATGAAATCAATGATAGATTCCATCTCCACAGACTTTGTTGTTTCCTATGAAAGTGTTCTGGTGATTGCTGCTTTCTTCTTTCGTGGTGACATTCACCGTCGAAAAATAATTCAGCAAGTTAGACCAATTTGTTAAATACTCGAAAACATCAATATTAAGAGAGAATAAAAGAAAGTTTGTATTATTTGCAACAACAAAAAATGGAAACTAAATGGAAGAAGAAAAGGTCTTCTAATGTCCTAGAGCAATGCAGAGTCAAACCACAACTAACTTTGCTAAATCAACACATCTTTAACATTTTCTAATTTCTCTCTTTTCTTCACATACACAGTCCAATATTTGGGTCTGGTTAAGCTTTATGGATCACTTTCTCCTTTTACCCATTTTCTTCTCCTCCGTCCCCATCAAGCGGCAAATATGCAGTTTGTGAGATGTATTTATTTTTCAGCAAATTACAGCAAGAAATGTAAGTGTCGGGAAATTACCATAACTAGTTCTTGAATTACAAATATGTCATTTTATTTCTTGAACTACTACCGTTGATCATTTACTCCTAATTTTTGTTATTTTTGAAACTAAAATGACTGTTATTTATTTGATAACGTTAGGGATTAAAATGATAGTCATTTCATAATTTCATATACTAAATGAAATCTTTATAATTTTAGGGATTAATTTGTTGTGTTACTCAAATTGCAATTGAGATATGTGTTCACAACAAAATCCCGTTTCTATCATTTCCTTCGCAAAATGTTAAAACATAAATAAATAAACCGGTGAAATATTTTTATAATTTAAAAAATATCAACTAAAAGTAAAAACAAAACATCAAACCAGAAACACCCTAAACTTTTATCAAACAGGACAGGACATTATTGCTCAATTTGAATTATTGTTTCAACAATATTTAAATTTTTGTTATAATGAATGAGTGCATGAGCCATTTAAGTGTATAAAGGAACTGAGTTACAATCATGTTTAACTGAACCAAGAGCTTGCAGTGCAGGGAATGATTGTATATGATTCTGCTGAATCAAGTGGAGTGCAGAACTAGCTATTTTATTCAAATCAGTTCACTCAATAATACAAGGTACAGACATGTTGCATGAAAATCAATATTTACTAATCTATTACTCAATCAACGGCAAACAAATGCCTATACAGGGAAAAAAAAAAAAAAAAACACTCACAAATTGAAACCAAATTTGAAGTCTCATACAAGACAGGACTAATGCATGTGACACTTGTTTCAAGCATTTGTCTTAGACAATGTCACTGGTTTCACGACCATGGCAACACGTGTATTTAACAGAAGCTACTTCCATATTTCCACACTTATTTGGACATGGTAGCTGAGCTAGAATATCAGTGGGATAATTAGCAAATTCCCTATGTTCGCATTTGTTTGGAACAGTTTTAACCTTGCATTTCTCATAGTAGTCCTTGAAAGCTACATCAAAGCTTACTTCTTGGTGCAATTTCTCTTTCCAAACCTCAAAATCTGCGACAGTTCGAAGCATAGCCTCACCATGACCCAGAAGCTTCACATGAGACCCTTTACTAAGAATTGCCCATCCATTTTTGTCTTGTTTAAGGAGCAACAATCTCTGTATCTCTTTTGTTGTAGAGTCCTGCATTTCTTCACCGCCCTTCCTCATCAGTTTCCTGCTCGCTAGCAAATTGTCTACGGTAATCCAGAAGCGTGGAACAATCTTGGGGCTGTCCCTTCCTAACGGATAGGACTCAATTGTGGTTTCTTCTAGGTTGAGAGTTTCATTCTTTTTCAATTTTTCCACAGCTGCTGTGAATTCTTCAATCCACTTACTGTTGGTACCTCCATAGATGAAGAAGTAACAGTCCCTATTTATCTGTTTTATGAACATGAAATATTATAGATCATTTTATTTTTAGTGCTATCTCAAATTACCAGGAGAGCTGAGTGTTACATGCCACGAGCTAAGAAGCATGAACACTCCTTTTCCTAATTTAATGTTTTTCTCTTGTATTTTTATAGTTTTTAATAAATTTTAATCAATAACTAAGAAGGTATAAGAGAACGCGTTGGTAGCATTCTTCTAAGTATAATCACTAGAATATTACATAAAAAGTTAAATCCCAAGAGAGAATTCATGTTTTAAAAATTAGCATGAGTTATTTTAAACACATGACATGAGTGTTCATGCTTCCTTCATCACAAGCTATGATATTTATCTTTCCTTAATTTAGCCGCCCTGTCTCGGTTGCAAGATGCAGAAGAAACTAACTACCACCACAGATTGCATTGATACAGAATATAGAAGTGTATTTAAATATATGGATTACGTACATGATTCCATTTTGTGTTTTATCAAGTAAGTTGTAAGTAACAGATTAGCATAAATTATTTGGATGCACTGCATTGATTCAATTACTAATGTGGCAGCAGTTTCTTTGGCAGAATCCAACACTGCAGAAACCATCACCAATGAATCATATATATACAAAACAGGAGAAGCATTAATTTGCAGTAGTTAGTGCTTACCAATTCCTTTATTGTTGGACTGAGGCTGATAATTTCAGTCCAAAACCAGTTCCATTGCTGAGTAAGTCGGGTGTGATCAGAGGTTCTGAAAGGGAACCCATCCATCCCCCATGTAGAAATAATCTGCTTTGCATCAGGGTTCTCCACTTTACCCTCAGGGCTTATGAGCATGATAATGGGGTTACCCCTGTAGTTAAATACCTCTCTGATGAGGTCAATTCCTGTTTGGAAATTGAATTCTTTGACCACATACCACCCAACCTTAGTAACATTGTCTAACTTTTTCTTTTGCTCTTCATCCCAAACACCCACTATGGGGATCCACAAAATCTTGAAATCCTCTTTCCTGTAACCCTCTAGCTCTTTTGGATCTTCCTTCAATTTTTCATCTATTGATTTTAGAAGTTGAATCTCGTAGTCAATGTTGTCAAGGCCTGAAATGAACAATAAGACATACTTGTTCCTAAACTCTTCTATTCGAACCTGTTTAGAGTTAAAAGAAATAATAATAATAAACAATTAGGGAGTAGTAGCACTAGAGATAGGACATGTCAAGACTTTACTGTATTACATACCTGTGCTCCTGTGAGGCCATTATAAACCATTGGTCTTGAATCCTGCGAATCAATGGGGATAATAAGAGCTTCCAAAAACTTGACAATTTCAATTTCTTTATCAGTCTGAATGGCATTGATAACATCCTTACGCCTGGAGTAATCTTCTATTCGGCCTGCAATTATCACACAGAATATCCTTTTAGCATTGAAGTTCTATTTTGCAACTTCACTTGTACAGTAAGGAAACATGCTTCTAATGTCAAAAGGTTTGTACAACACAAAACACATAATAACCTATCTGCATCTTGCACTTGTCCTGATGGTCCTTGAAATTTTTGAGAATGAAGTCAAGCTTATAGTCAAATTTTGATAACTCATATCTGTAACCCCTGAATCAAAGCAATTACAATTATGTGAAAAAATTTAGTATATATAGAACGGCTTTGGATCCTCCAATGTTAATAAGTAACATGATAATGATATGTTAAGAGAGAGACACAAACAACGTGAAGTGGTACTATCCACCAATATTTGAGAATAGTTTCTTTATGTTTTAAAGGAATGCTAGCAACGCATTTTTCTGATTGGTCAATTTTTTAAAAATTCAGTAATTTTGGAAAAATGATCAATTTTCGAGGCAAGTATTTTGATGTTTCATGTAAAGTGTGTTAAAGAGTGAGTTCAATTTTCACTTTGTTGGGTTAAAAATATGGTAGAATCCGAATCCTATAAAGAACGGTGTGAATAAAATGTAATGTTGCCCAACAAGATGAATTAATCAATTAAGCTTACTTATCACCCATGATATCAATGTGGCTGGTACAGGTGACCAAGGTACTGATTGTCCAGTATGCTAGAACAGGAATCTCATGCAAAGTGTCTGACAATGAAGGCACATCCTTTATGTTATACTCCGCCATAATTAGCTTCTTCCAATCAGTGATGCATTGAACCACTTGCATGACCTTCTTCACCAAATTGTTAAAGTTTTCTAGGTGCGGCTTGTTTTCCTCTATGCTTTGAAGTCCATTCAACTCAGCCAATGATTTCCCCAGTTTGTCACGTGGGATAGGTGCAAGTTGCCAAAATTTCCCATACTCAAAAGCAAAAGCTGCTAGAGTTATCACTGTTTTTGCATCCCAGGAATAGTCTCTCAACTGTTCAAGTATCAACATTGTTGTTTGATGCGCATATTGCTCACCACGAGCCGTGCATATCATCTGCAATCAGTTATTCCAATTCAATTTTTCTAAGTAGTGCTTGTACTAAAAATTGTTACCATTCTGATATTTTATTTTCAGGTATTTGTGTCTTGCTAAGTTCTCAAACATGTTATTTGCTAGTTTTCAGCATATGTTTGGGTCTCCACCGAGTTTTCAGCATTTAAAACTATTACATTTTTAATACAAATGTATTAGTTTTAGATCAATAAACTTGGCTTTAAGAAACGAAGTTAAAAAAATTGTAAATTTTATTATAGTGTTGGATAATAATAGGTGACACAGCTGGCCTAAATATTGTGTTGAATATACGATACTCAGAATACTCAAAAAATTTTCCTCCTACTGATACTCATCAAATAGTAAATATTGAGGTTCTGTCACGTTATGAAAGATATTTCAAGTACTTCTGTTGGACATTGCAGTAACCCTTCTTTATTATTCTTGTGACATGTCAACTAAATGTTCATCATAACTGCAAAATTCAAATTTTAATGCTAATTATCGATAATGTATAGTAGAAAACAGGGTCGGTCCACTTAATTGATAACAATTTTTACTCTTATGCTAATTTTTCTTTTTAAATTTAATTACAATTTTACCTGGCAAGCAATTCGCTTCAAGGCAGGGAGTCGTGGGAAAGAGATCAATGGACCCTTTTCTTCTCTGAGCTGCTCAATTTGTTGGCCATCCTGTACATGAAATTATGAACATACACATGGTCACTAAAAAAGCTTGCAATCACTTATAAGTCACGTGCAATCATTGTTAGCTACTTTGAATATATGGATACAAGTGTAACAAAAATCATTGAAAAACTCTACTTACAATGAACATAGGATATAGTCCTCTTGGAGAGATACTAATATAATTGCTAAAATCTCAAAAATACCCATGTAATTCATAGAATACACATTGACCATTTGAATCATCTAGATAAATTCAGCTTGGAATCTATAAATGGGTTGTACAAGTATCATTATCCTAAACTAATTACCATAAAACAAAATATGTCAGTTTGATGTACACAAAAGAATGTAGGTTACCTTAACAATCAAATCAGCAATTTCAATTGAGTGATTGACAACGTTTGAAGCAACAATGTAAAGAGCACCAACATCGTACTTTTCAACACAATGGAAATGGGTTATGTACACTTTCTCCAAGATTTGATCGTCACTGACTTCAAATGGGTTCAGCAAGACCTTCTCATGCTGCAGAGTGTTACTGAGAACTTGCTTAGACATGTTGGTGATTCAGCCAACCTGTGTTCAAAAGTATTTAGGCAAATAATTGAAAGCAAACAATGCCTATTTATACAACAAAGAAAAGCACTCTATTTTAAAATGCAAAGCCAAAATAATAACTTCAGTATAGATCAAGAAAGAGAGTGGATTAGAAAATACAAATTTTATGTAGCTTTTGTGGCCCCTAAGTTTGCTTGAAATATTGATTTCATAATATACCCTTGATGGGTTCATGATGTATGATGAAAAATTAAGGGCAAAAGTGACAATTCACTAGGATTCTCAAAACTATTGCCATTCATAAACCTACCTCCATTCAAACCTTCAAGTAAGGAATCTTGGTAACGAACAGTACTAAAAAGAGTGTTATGTTTCGAAAAGATAAAGGTAAAATTGCGAATAAAGAAAACAATATACTCTTGAGTGTTTGTGATATCATTAGTGATGCCCTTGATATATTTATATTAAGATTGGGAAGATTCAAGTTTAAAAAAATTAAATAAATAAGAATATGCTAATTTGTGTGTTTAAATTAACTTAGATGCATGTTTACTGTGAGGTTCTTGTCTACTATACTTGAAATCCAAGGCATAGAATAGAAATACATGAGTACTATACAAGTCAAAATAAAGGGAGATGTTTCCATTGGGTGTCACTTTTATAGGCCTCAAGTATGAAGCACCTTTAATTTGTTGTTCATCAAGATTGGAATGTTGGGGAGATTATTTCACGACAAAAAAAGAAAATATAAAGTGACTATGGCTGTTAACTGCTACGTCATTCATTGATAGCTTTTGAAAGTTAGGGTTTTAGGTTCGGAAAAATAATAATAAATGGTGCAACGAGAAAATCAACGAAAATTTGAAATAATATATACTGATTTAATTTAATTTGTTTACATCCAGCCTTAGTTGAAAGCTGTTTTTAAGAAGAGAATGAAAATAAAATTTGTTGGTAATTTAATTTTTAAAACTGTTTTTAAGGTGAAAAAATAAGAAAATTTGTTTGATAAATTTAATTTTAAAAACTAAAAAAAGAAAATGTGTTTGATTTTATTTAATTTTTTATTTAGTATTTTAAATTATATATATATTTGATATTTAATTTTAATATTTTTTATTTAATTATATATTTTTTTATATTTAAAAGGAAATATTGAATTGAAAAATTATTAAAACAAAGTCATAAAGTTGGTGCAGTGCAGGGAGATGTGAGAATGTTGTGAAACCTTAACCCACTCTATTTATATTTTTTATTTAATTTATTTATTTACAAGAATGTCATTAATGAGAAATAAGTTTTTAGCATCTTGCAAATTTTGGAAAAAGAAATCAAAATTTAAAAACAAAAACACCTTAGAAACTATTCTATATTTTAGTTTTAAAAATTGAAAATAAAAATTTGTTTTTGAAAATAAATTTAAAATTTAAATTAACAAATAAGTTTTGAAGTTTTTAAATTTTAAAAACTAAAAACTCTTTTTAAGAAGGAGAAACAAACAACCAGTAACTATTGCTGTTTATTTTTTATTTTTTTTAATTATACATTAGGCCAATCATAAAAGAATGTGTGGCTTCGTCAAATTTCGTGTTGAAAATCTCGCACCAAATAATATAGCTCTTAGGTTAATTATATTTTTAAGTCTCTTTAAATGTAAATTATGTGCAATTTTAATTTTTTTTTTATCAAATTAAGTGGCTTTATTTTAAAATTATGTAAATTTGGTTTTGTCATCAATTTTTTTAACTTAAAAATCTTAAATTATTCTTTTTATCAAATTACTTCGGTCTTTAAAATGGAATTAAGATAAAATAATTTAAAAAGTTTAAAAATAAATAATTTAATGGGTTAAAATGAAGCAAGTACAAAACTTTGTGCTTAACTTGCTATTTTTAGTGGGTCAAGCAGATTTGACTTGTTAACTCTAGTCTAATTTAGCATTCCTACTTAAACTCTTATCATTTAGTCACAAAAGTAAATTTTGTGCATTCTTATCGTTTGTTGATTGCATATTATTATTCTTATATGTCTTTTGTCACTTTTATTTAAAACTTCTATAATATATATATATATATATATATATATATATATATATATTAAATTCATTAATTTGAATTTAAAAATAGGTAAGTAGTGTTCATTTAATTTTATAATCATCTTTTAAAATACATATATCTCTTTCTTTTAACTTTATCTCATTTTATTTTATTCTTTTTTTCATAAATTTTAAATTCTCCATAATAATTTTAGATTTTTTTTCCTTCTCAATTCATTCTACAATATATGATTACTTAGTATAAATTTTATTTAACAAAGCATACACACATATGAACAAAGAGAGAGCATAGATGATTTTTCTTTTTCTTTGTCCTCTTTGTCTTTTGCTTTCAACATCAATGTAATTCAAAAATAAAATCTTTACCCTATTTGTTATTACTTTGATTGATTGTTTATCTTTATTTATTTCTTTTAGACATCATTTTTATTTTCTTAAATTTTGAAAAAAAATTTTCACATGACCAATAATCATCTTTTAAGAGTTCTTTCTATTTTTGTATGTTTTGTCTCAACATTATATAAATCTAAAAGTACAATCTATACTCTCAACATTATTTGTACATTATTATTTTTTCTTCTACAAACTCCAGAAAAGACATCATTTTTTTTAAATCTATTTCCTTTTTTTCAACACTCATCAAGTAATTGTCTTTCAAGAGATCTTTTTATCTTTGTATTTTTCTTACAACATTATACAATCTAAACATAAAATATTTATTTTTGTTATTATTTTGATATATTTTATTTTATTAATAATATCATTTATTCTTATAACATTCTTTAGTGAGTTTATGATATGTTAATCAAAACTTCTTTCTACAAGATGCATTCAATCTCTTACATTTGATTAATATGTATATATAATTTGTTTCCAATACTAAATAATTAAAGAATTTTTGTTTAACTTTTAAAAAAACATATATTTTGACCTATATTTTTTTTGCAAGTGACTTTTTAGTTTTTTATGAGCTCATTTATTATGATTTATATATCATCCATTTTCATTCTTGGATAATATTTACTATTTGAATAGAGTCTTTGAAGAAGATCACCGGATGATAAAACTCTTTTAAAATCCTCTCCCTTTCGCTTTTTTAGTTTTTATTTTTTATTATAGCAATGAATTCATCACCCACTCTTTTCACCAATAATTATTTTAAAAAATAATTAATATAAATTTATCTATCTATCAATAATTTATATAATTAAAAACTAATTTAAAGGAAAATTTTCTGATGTGTCACTATCTCATAAAATGCTTCTTTAATAATTTTTTAACACTTTTTATTCAGAGAAATTTTATTTAAATAAAACTAATGTGTTGGTATTATTATTATTATTATTATTTTCTCATTTTTATTTTCTAAAATCTCACCTGTTTTAATCAGTATAGATATTGAGAAGTTATTATAACTTGTCAAGAAATTTTGAATTTGATTTATAAATGTGTGTAACACTTTTTTTTAAAATATTTTTATTATATTTATATAAATTTTGATAAAAATTAATTAAAATAAGTAACATTTTAGATGAATTAAGAAAAAGTTTATATTAATTTAAATTTTAAAATAATAGAAATTATCAAAATTTTAAGATTTTATATGTAAATCTTATTCATAAAAGAGATATAAATTTACTTTCACAATTTAATTTCAACATTAAGGTAAAAATTAAAATTTACATTTTAACAATTTACTTACTTTAGTTACGTATGTATTACAAATTTAAAATACAACAAAACTGTTTTCCAACAAATTAAATTTTCAACTAAGGATGGATGTAAATTAAAATTGAGATAATTAACTACTAAATATTACAAATATACTTCATATCATCATTTATAGTAGACTTTATCAAACATTACAAGTTTTAAAATTAATATCAATTTCTAATTAGGACTTAATCAAAATTATTACAACCTCAACATAACTTTAAGTCCTAACACAACAAATTATACCTAACAACACCACTAAGAATATGATCCTAAAATGGATCAATCTTCTTTTATTTCTTCATTTCAATTCTTGAAAAATAATTTATAAGGGTAAGTATTTATCGCTCCAAGAAATCTTATATTTTATAAATGAATCAAGTAATACAAAAATATTATCTAATATAATACATCATTTTAGAAATAATAATTAAAAAATAAAGTGTTATATGGGTTACAAAGTTGAAAAATTGTGAATAAATGTGTTAGTGTGAGTTAAAGATCATAATTCTTTGTTTGTGACCATTTGACATTTACGTTGTAATATCACTATTATAAATAGTGAATTATACTCATGTATTTGGAGTGACAAAATAATAAAATCCTCCTATTATTATAATTTTTTCTTTTATTTCCCAACAAAGTGGTATCAAGAGTAGTTCGATCTTGAGAGTTGAGAGAAACATCTCGAGAATTGAATGAAACACTTTGATAGTTGAGAGATGACAAATAATGGCCTAAATATGTTTTAATTTCCACGTCTCACCAGAGGAAATTATGATAATTGGTTTCGACGCATAAAAGTGTTACTAGGGTCTCAAGATGCTTGAAAGATTGTAGAGAAAGGTTATGATAAGCCTCAAGATGAGGCTATTTTGTGACAAAATGAAAACGATGCTTTGACAAAGCAAAAGAAGAAAGATCAACAAGTACTTGCATTTATCCATTGTAACATCCTTATTTTATTTAAAATAATAAGAGTAAAATTTTTATATTAATATGAAAATTCAGTTAAATTTATTACCGGTCAAATATAACATGTGAAATTATCATATATTATGTTTATTTTACTTAACTATACAAGAACTTTGAATAACAAAACAATAATAATTAAAAAAACTTTTAAGAGAAAACATTAAATAACATTAACATACATTGTTCTCTTAATATACAAAATATTAACATTGACAAAATATTCATTAAAATACATTAAGACTCTTTTTTAACATTT